CTTGATAGAGTCAGCAAAAAAGAGGAGGACCCTCAATGAGATGGAATGACACAGTGCAACAATAAGCTCAAACATAGCAACAATTGTAGAGATGGCATAGGACTGGACAGTGTTCCACTATGTTATACATAAGGTTGGTGTGAGTTGGAAGCAACTTGATGGCAACATGTACCCAAGAAAACTAATAAAGGTGAGTACCTAATAATAATAGATGTTGTGACTAAAATAAATTTAAATACTATTTTGTAATTCTTTGTATCCATTTTATATAATTTTTACTCGAGTCTGATCAGTGATATTAGCATGTCTTAAAGTAAATTCTTATTTTAAGTTGTTTCTGATACTTTTTTTTCCAGATAATGGGTTCATACCTGATTCACTTTTAGAAGATGTGATGAAAGCATTGGACCTTGTTTCAGATCCTGAATAGTAAGCTAAATAGGAAGTGTTATTTATCCAATTGAAAAAGAATTTAAAACATACACATTTTTGCCTTGCTTTATCTAAACCTAGATATACAAAGAATAGCACTTCATGTAAAGCAAAACTTTAAGAAGTGATCAGATTATTCCAACATTATAACTGAGATTTAGCATCATGAACTTACTTTCCCACACTTACTGTCCTGCTTTTTAAAAGGTGCTTGCTGATAATAAGTCTTTTCCTATAAACTTTAAATACATTTTTTTCCAACAAACTTTTTCCTTTTCTTTTTTTTTTTATTTTTCCATTTTATACATTTCTTTAGTGGTTTTGGTAAAAGTAGTGACAGTTCTCTATATTGTTAGTGCTGTGCTTAAGTAACCAGCAAGCCTCTGATTTTCACTCTTAAATAAAGATGATCAAAGACATTGAATATTTCCAAATAATTAAATTAACTACTCTGAAATCTTTGTATGTGACCCCAATTTATTACACAATAAAATTTTTCAGTATTGCCTGACATTACTAACTTATCCTTATCTTCATTCCCATTGTTACGTTTTATATAATGTTTTATCTACAACAACTTCCATAACTTTGGGATCTTTATTATCCAATAGAAAATAATTCTCTCTCATTGAGAGGCTACATGTATTGATCAAATATGAATTTAAAAATAATCTATCATGATCCTTTTCTGTATAATTTTTCTTTCTTTTTACTTCTGCATAATTTTTTTTATCTGACAATGAACAAATATTTAACACAAGGATTCAACAAAGCCTACAAAATTCATTGGTATACACAGTGTTTTGAATTTGGTCCTATTCTATTTTTAAATTAATTCAGATGTGTTTTCTTTGAAAGTATGAAATGTATATAAACATTTATAAACTAATCACATCTGAATTCATATTTCTCAATCTTATTACCTAGGTCTGTAATTTTATCCATATTCAATAGTTGGACATAATTGTTATTTCCAACTTAAAGAGGAGAAATCCAGAGAGAATTGACCTAGTCTAATAAATGATATAATGGTAATTATCGTCTTCTAAATAGAGACCATCTTGCTTACACTGCTACAATTTGCAAAAGAGAATTGAACTCTTGAGTACTTTGGGTTACCAACAGTTCTACCAGTTTATTATCTTTTTTTAAATGGAGAAGAGGAAGAAGAAAAACTTCTTTTTTTTCCCCTCCCAAAATTCTTAAATAGATAGCTACATGACATCTAAAAGGAGCTCTGGTGGTACAGTGGTTAAGGCATTCAGCTTCTAACCAACGGGTCAGTGGTTTGAACCCACCAGCTGCTGTGTAGGAGAAAGATGAGGCAGGCTGCTGCTTTGAAGATTTCCAGCCGTGGAAACTCTATGAGGCAATTAATTCTACTCTGTCCTGTAGGGTCACTATAAGTCAGAAGTGACTTGATGGCAGTGGGTTTGGTGGGTTATATAACATCTACCTAATTTTCCTTGCTTCACTATAATATATAACATACCTTCAGTTATAAAGTTAGTGTAATTGATATAAGCAGATTGATTTTTCTATAGGTAACTAAAAGAATGAACTGATTTATTCTCTCTGTACTTTGGCCTAAAAAAAAAAAACCTCACTGTCGTTGAGTCAGATCCTACTCATAGCAACCCCTCTTGGGTTTCCAAGGTGGTATCTCTATGGAAGAGATCACCCAACCTTCCTTCTGAGGAGTGGCTGGTGAGTTTGAACCGCCAGCCTTCTGGTTAACAGTCACATGCCTTAGGCACTACACAACCAGAGTTGGCCTAGTCATGTTTATTAAATATGTGATAGCTCACTGCTGGGCCATATTAGTGATTAAATATGTAGTGACTAAATACACTATAACATGACTCAGTCAATGACATATCCTTTGCATGTTGTATAATAGGTATATTTAACTTGGCATTTTATAGTTTGGGAGACAACATGGAGAATGTTAAGTTTCTGAGAAGCCCATTTTCATTTTTAAAACTCTTCTGACTACAGCCCACTTTTCTGTGCTTCTTTGTACTCACACATAACAATTAACACCTTTCACAACCTTGGTTACACTGAAATGATAAGGATTATGCAAAGCACTTTAAACTGCTGCTGGATGATTTACCACCTACTGTAATTTACTAGGGAGCTCTGGGCTTTTGCTCTTAGAGAATTGCTTCACCTCTTAAACTTCATATTACATGTTAAGCCACCAACTCATTTGATTCTTAAAAGTAAACTTTTAAAAAAAAAAATTTTGATTGTCTGCTGTTCACTGTCTTTTAATGCTCTTTCTCCTTGGGCTTAAAATAAGCATCTTTAAAAAAAAAAAAAAAGTTACATCCCTCATTTGGTAAATTCAAGCATACCTATGAAGCAAAGAAGATTTGCCTTTGGGAGGTTATAAGCCTGAGTTCATAAGCCCAGGTTTTTAAATTACTTTGCCTAATAAGGAACAATATTCCAAAGTCGTCGTCATAATTTAAATTTTAAATAGTAACAGATTACTGTGGTTTTAAAAATAACTAAGTTTTGGCAAATTAGATGTCATTCCTATGTATTTGTCATTAAGATTCTAAAAAAAAACAGCTCTTAGATTTTTGGCAGGCAAATGTGTTATAGGACCAGTAATTTAATCGTGAAGTAAGAAAAATAAGCTGCTTTTTTTTTTTCCTTTGGTATCCACTGTTTTTCTTTTTCTTTTCTTTTTTTTTTTTTTCCCTTCCCATAGTTTAAACCTCATGAAGAATAAATTGGATCCAGAAGGATTAGGAATCATATTATTGGGTCCATTTCTTCAAGAGTTTTTTCCTGATCAGGTAACATTGTTAAGGAACTATACTCATTATTTTGTTCTATTGGGATGATCATCTGTTTTGTTTGATCACTTTTTTCTACTCCTTTAAAGTGTCCTAATGTGCAGATGTGAGACTGAAAACATTATTATTATGTAAAGGCTTTCCAGTACAGAGGTAATAAAAGAGTATGTGCATTCCAATACAGTAATTGAGAGCTTTGACTGGAGGGGGATGGGGAGGAGAAGTACTAGAAATTAATGTATATACCACTGTATACATCTAGTGATACTGTTCACTTGTTGTTGTTGTTGTGTAACAATGTATACAGTGTTCACTTAGAAAGGTAAAATTCAGAAGTATATTGACCCAAAAGAGAAAGATTCTCTTCATCCACTCCCTTCCCCATTTTCCTTCTCTCAGATAATTACTGTTAATAGATTGTCTCTTCAGAACTTTCTTAATAGTGGAAAAGAAGTTAAAATCCTATGTGTAGAAGGAGGTCCTACTAGTTCCAGGATCATTTCAGTTGAGTCGAAAAATTTTTTTGAATCGAGCTGTGCTGTTCCATATTGGGACATTTCTTCTGTGGGATTTTGGTAGAAGATCAGTTAGTAGGAATCTGTGCTGATCTCAATTCTCTTGAGTTATATCTGAATCATTGACAGGCCAATTCTATATCCTTCGTCTCTCTTTTCTTCTTATCTACTTGAGGAGTTTTACAGTGTATTGTGGTCATTACATCAGCGTAGTTTTAAGTTGAATGAAGTTCATTGATTTAATAGAAATGACAACCTCTATTGTAAGAGATTTGTTGCCACATAGAAAAGTTACAAAAAAGGGTAGAGGGAAAATTTCAAGATACAGTTGTTAATTTAATGTCTCAGATTTAAATTATCTTTAACAAAGCAGACATTATCAGCATTCAATCCAGTAATTAGAAAAGAGAAGGAGCCCATATTTTCTAAACTTTCATCTATTGCAGCTATTGTGAGAAAAGAAAGTGAATGATGTAAAATTCCAAAAATAACTGAGGATATTACAATGTAGGATATTAGATTTTAAATTTTTGGTAAATGCTGCAAGAAAAAATAGATTCCTTTTTCTCTCTGGCATTATTAGAAATGCTCTTTTGGATTGTTATGTCCTATGTGTTTATACTCCAACTACTAGGTTAACTAGTAGAGATTTCTGAAAGTCCTTTTATAGAATCTCATGTTTTAGTTATCCTGATAAATGTTTAAGAATTTTAGAGCATTTTAAACTTTTTGTAACAGAAATATTAATTTTACTTCTAATTATTGTATTTCTAAAGCTTGCTATCCAAACATTTGATATTGGTTTCTTACTTATTAATATAATGAAAGGAGTTGCTGGAATGCACAGATGGTTAAGTGCTTGACAGTTTGAATCCACCCAGAGATAACATTCCTGTTCATTTTCAATTTAATTTGGGGAAAAATTTTTGAAAAGTACTTGGGAAATTAAAACAAACTGAAACAGTTACTACCAACTCTTTTGGAAATACATAATCTTATATCTAGTTAATTGCATCATGCTGTTTATAACTATTATAATAATGTATTAGTTCAAGAAATTAATTTTTTGAATCCTTGAAGTAATTGTCCTTGAAGTAATTAAAAAGAATCATAGTCCCCTTTCCTTTTACATGTAACAGACTTCTCCATTTAGTTCTACTGTTTGTTCCCTCAAGTCATCTCTTACCATTTGCTTATTTCCTGCTACTTTTCAGAACAAACTCTCCATCCCAGCTTGGTTGGTCTCCCTACCCTGACATAGTTCAGGCTCTCTCCTAAACCAAAGCATGTAATCTTGCTATTGGTTCCCTTTAGAGCAGTGGGTTCTGAAAGCGCAGTCTCGAAAAATTTGTTGAAATGCAAATTCTTAGATACCTCCCCTGACCTAGTGAATCAGAAACTTTGGTGTTGGGCCCAGCAGTCTGTTTTGACAAGTCCTTCGGGTCATTCTGGATGATGCCACAGTTTGAGAAGCACTGCTTTAGAGAAAGACATGTCACTTTCCCATTTATTCACATCCACTAAGAATTAAGACCCCCTTTGTCACAGATCTTTTCTCATCCACCTGATGCCTTCTTTTTCTATAGTCACAAACCATACTGTGACTATCACTCATTTTGGCCATTATTCATATATTGCTTTGTACCTGACAAATCAACATCATGATATTCAATAAGCATTCTTTATTGAATCAAGCCAGGAATAAATGAAATCAAGTTGCAAAGCTTGAGTCAGAAGAACAACCGGGAAAATACTTCTCTAACTTCAGTAATCTTGACTCTTAAAGCAGGGGTATGGAAGAGCATTTCTTTGCCATGAAATGGAAGTTGATCCAGGGGGAGAAATCAGTGGGAATATTCATAAGTATTTCAAGACAAGTTGTTTATAATAAGAATTGTAGCAGCAGCTACCATTCATTAATAACACTTACAAATAGTACACTGGGCATTATTTGCCTTATAAAGTACATACTCTTATTTTCCCCATCTTGACAGTGAGGGAATTGAGGATTAGAGAACCAAAGAAAATTGCTCATTGTCAGACAGCTGTAAGTGAGTGGTTCAAGATGCCAGTGTAGGTCTGTCTAACCCCAGAGTCTAAGTACTTTACCATTGTGTTATATTACCTTTTGTTGATGTTTCAGTATTTTATGCCAGTTGTTAATGACTGGAACTAGAGACTATAAGTTGTATTAAATTATAATAAATGTTTATTTTTTTGAGTTAAAATAAATTAACTCTGAAAATGAAGAGCTGAATTACTTATCTAAGCTCTTACAGTGTTGACTCATGTATACAATTAAGGAAATTAGTAAGTATTTTATTGACTTTTCTAGTTCGTGTAAAGCATTCTGAGTATGATACAAAAAAAATTATAAAAGCTTAAATTTTAATTGGGAATATAGGTCATGAAAAGTTAAGAACATTAAACATTTAAGTAATCTTTAAGATCGGTAGGTGATACACAGTAATATTATTCATTCCCAACTTAATTGTTCAGACAATTGTTACTATAAAGATCCCAAAATAATAAAGAGCCCAACTAGTGTGTTCAGGAAAAACTTCATAGGAAAGATAAGATTTGAATCTAGTCTTGAAAAATGAGAAACGAGTTGAATAAATGAAGAAAGGAAGAAGAGAGAAGTGTGTACAGGGCCAAAAACAAAAGGTCTTTTCATGGGAGAATAAGTGGTAGCTTGTCTAAAACAGAGGACTCAGAAAGGTGAGTATGGAGATAAGGTTGAAAAGTAAATTAGGATCTGTATTATTTTAGGACTTGCGGTTATAAATTACAGAACTGGCCCAGCCTGAACTGGCTTAATGGAGGGACAAGCGGGGGGCAGTGGTGGATACAAATTGGAAGGAGTAGCTCACAGAATTGAAGATGGAACAACCAAGCACAGGAAAGAAGCACCTCAGAGACTAGAACAGATAGATATTTGAACACTGCTCTAAGTCTGTCCATCTTCCCTCCTTTTTCTCTAAGGTAGCTCCATTCTCTCAGCCTATCTTTCTCTAGGAAGCTGAAGCCACCATTGCCAGTGACTTTCTTCCTTTAGTTTCAACTGGAAAAGAAAAATCTCAAGAGGGACTCTGACCCAGCTTGGGTCACAAACCCATCCTTGTATCCATCAGATATGGCCAGGGAGACAGTTGGGATAGGCACAGGGAGACTGAGCTGTTAGAGTCCCCAAGAGAAGTCATTGGGAACCAAGCACCTTCACTGGAGCCAGACCAGCAATGGTTTTGAAAGCTAGGTTGATAGAGGTGAATTTGACCTTTAGCTGAATTGAGAACCAAGGATAAAACAGTAGGAGGAATAACATGATCAAATGTTTCTAAAAGTTTAGTCTGATAGGGACTTATTGAATGTTATTAAAGTCTCTTTAAGCATTATAATTATATTTTAATTTCTCACAATGCTGTTTTCACTATTTAAAAGTTGGCAATAATCAAATGGCATTTTGGGAATGGAAACTCCTAATTTGATATTATAATTGGAAGTACTGGTGCATAAATGTTTGTGGTATAAATAAAAGTGATATTACCACTCTTCCATATTTATTGGAAGGAGCCAATTATTCACTACTAGAGAAAAATGCAGAGATATATATTAGGGTAATATTTCTGTGTTTTAGAAGCTTGTCCTTTTTTAAAAATCACAGTAATTCATATATAGAGCTAAAAACATAAACGAGCACAGAAGACCAAATTATGAAAATCAGTTCTTATCATTTCCCAGTCTTCTCCAGAAGAAAACTCTCATGATATTTTCAGCTTTTAGGTTTCCTGGTTATTAATCCATAAATCTGAGTTTCTTATTTTATCAAATGATTCCCCAGTCATAGGGTGAGGGTTTAAGAAACTTGTATTTTACTTTCAATTGCTAATTAGAAATTGCCTGATATAAAGACAATTTAAAGTTTTAATAGTGCTTTATTTATACTAGGGCTCCAGTGGTCCAGAGTCTTTTACTGTCTACCACTACAATGGATTGAAGCAATCAAATTATAATGAAAAGGTATGATAATCCACATAGTAATTTGTCTCTAACTGGGTTGATGAAATATATATATATGAGTATATAACAGTGTTTCATTCCGACAAAATTGCTACTCAAGGATATTATTCCAGGAGTCTCTTTACTATCACGCCATATTTTAGAACTCAGTTTGACCAATATGTGATACTCATTGAAATCTACATTGAACCTTAGAGTAGTAGTTTTACTGTGACAACATGACAACATAATTATATCTGCTTACCTGTTGATACCCTTCATTATGTAGCATTTATAATTTCTTCAGTGAAAGTTGTTACTGACTCATTTAAATAGAAAAAGGGATAACACTGAGATTTTTAAGAAAAATCTTTTGAAAGGATTTAAATTAGTAACCATAATAGCTAGCATTTATTGAACATTTGCCTAGAATGTTACTAAGCACTTTGTTTTATCTTAAGTTTCACAACTACCCTATGAGTAGGGTAGTACAGAGGAGGAAACTGAAACACAAAGAGGTAAGCAATATACCCAAGGTCAAGCATCCAGGAAATGGCACCGCTGGGATTGAAGCTGAGGTAGTCTAACTGCAGAGCCCAACCTTGGACCTGTTATGATTTGCTGCTCTCCTTTGTGGAGCATTGACAAAGGCATGTAGGTTATTCACTTCCAGCTGTACCCAGTGGTTTAAATCAGACGTTTGATCTTACTGATCAACCTTGTTGATTAAATATTAGCTTTGTCTACACATACAATATGCTTTATCTGTTAAAATAACAGTTATAGCAGATAGAGCTAATATTACATAGATTAGGATTTTACACTTTTACCAAGTTCTAGAGCTTCTTTTAAAGGAGCCCTGGTGGTGCAGTGGTTAAAGCTCTTGGCTGCTAACCAAAAAGTCAGCAGCCTGAAACCACCAGCCACTTCACAAGGGAAAGACTTGGCAGTCTGTTTCCATAATGATTATAGCCTTGGAAAGAAACCCTATGCGACAGTTCTTTGTCCTGTTGTGTCACTATGAGTCAGAATTGACTCAACGGCATCATGTTTTGGTTTAGAGTTTCATTAGACGTAATAAAGCCTAGCATACCTTTTTAATTTGATATATTTATATTAGTTTCATAACTGTCTAAATTGAGGATGGCTACAGAAAACAGATCATAATGTAAAAGAGGATCTATGTTAATTAATGTAAATTCAATACATTAATTTTTAGTTAGACAAATCTGAAACATTAAAATACACTGGTCATAGCAAGCTATAAATTAGAAGTTTTATCTTTTCACAAAAAGATAATTTGTTTGTATGTAGCAAAATATAATTTGTCATAAAAAACTTGGATGCTATTTTCTACTATGTATAAATGAGTACTTTAGATTTTGAACTTTTACGTATCTTGTAATAGGTGGTATTTTGTAGTCACTAATTAGTTTTGGATTAACACAGTGGCTGGAACAATGGGCTCAAACATGGCAACAATTGTGAGGATACTGCAGGACTGGGTGGTATTTTGTCCTGTTGTACGTAGGGTCTCTGTGAGTCGGAACCGATTTGATGGCATTTAACAGCAACAGCAATTAGTTATTGCCCTACACAATCTCTGCGAGGTAGGTCAGTCAACTGTTGTCCATATTTTACAGATGAGGCATCTGAGACAGGGCGATTAAGTGACTCACCCAGGGTCACACAGCAAGTCTTTGGCAGAGCAGGGATTGGAACTGAGTTCCTGATTCTCAATCCTGTGCTTGGTCTGCTTGGCCACACTACCTGTATCTAGTAAGTTTTCAAATCATGCTTGTGACAAGCGTCTGACTTACTAACAAAAGTACCAGAAATTTTAAAATTAAATATTAATATGACACTAACTAGTATATCACAACTATAAAGCAAAGCATGTATGTCATTAAGTTGCATAGGTATAATGTTATGAAGTTATATAGGAACTAGAAATATAATAGGCCGCATACCACAGTAATGTTAAAAAATATCTGAAGGAACCTTCAAGAGGAGAATGCTGGTGAAGTGGGAGAGAGCATGATCCACCAGGCAGCAAAGGCTAGTTGAGTCCACTAGAGGTAGGTCACAGTATTTTGCCCAAGCAATTCTGTTCTAGTATGAGCAAATACAGCTCTTTGTGAAAAATAGGTCCTGTCTAATTTAAGTATAATAACTTGTGTAACATGCTTTATATACAACTTTTCAGAAAAGGAAGTTTTACTTTGGGGAGTTGAAAAGCTGCCATTGTAGTTTTAATAGTAAATTTATTTCAGCCAAACCAGAAATAAAACTAAAATATTAATCAAAAAGAGTGATGGGAAAAAAATGCATTTCACATTCAAGTATGTCTTAAGAGCTTCCTAGGAAAAAAGGATTAAATACATGAGACCAAAATAATTGACAACTTTCTATTCCTATATTGATGTTTTTTTAAGGTAATTCCCATTTGAGGCTAATGACGTTGTTCCTTTTGGCTCATTAGTCAAATAGCTTATGGCTTTTATGTTGAAAAAACATGATTATAATCATGTGTATCAGCTACTGAGCATGTAGAAATAATTATATATACTTTGAAGAAGGCAGTTGATACCTGTTTCTTTTAAATTATATGGAGCCTTGAATTTCTCTTGGAGTCTGAAATTAATGACTAAGTTGTTCTTTAATATATACAGTGACCCCTTGATTTAAGGGTTTGTGTGCATGTGCTATTTCATAGACATTTCTAAAAATTTTTCATTGTAAATTAAAGAAATTAGAATACAATTTTTATTCTGGTATCTGCCTTCCAGTTTGGAGCCCTGGTTGCACAGTGGTAAAGCACTTGGCTGCTTATCAAAAAGTTCCCTAGTTTGAACCCATCAGCCACTCTAGGGGAGAAAGAGGTGGTAGTCTGTGTCCATAAAGATTACAGCCTTGGGAACCCTATGGAACAGTTCTCCTCTGTCCTGTAGGGTCGCTGTAAGTCAGAACCCGACAGCAGCGGACATGAGACCTACCAATTTATGGTTTTTAAGGTCATTACCATTGCATTATAAATTACCTGATTATCTTCATCTATCAGCCTTGGCCTATCCTTTGATATTTTTTGTCCTTTTTAATTTTTTATTTATGATTCTTCATGCAGTACAAGGTACATTCATGAACAGCATTGGAGGAGTATTTAATACAATAATAGCAAATTTGGTTGACAAATATTCAAACTTCTTTCACCTCTGAAAATTCAACACTTAAATCAAAAGGAGAAAATAAAGCTCTACTCAGAGTAACAGCTCTCTTTCTGCTATAGCTTTCCATTTCATGAGGCGTCATGAGCATCCAAGTGCCTCGGTATTAAAGCAGGAGGAGCTATGTGAATGTGTGTATACATAAGTCATCCAAAATTTCTTCCAACTCTATAAGTCCTTTGCAGAGTGATTTCTGTTTTATCAGAAGCAGTCTGTATGTGTTTTTATATAAACTTGTTTTTAATTATATTAAATTCTAAAAATCAGCTAGTCATCTGGCAATTAAAATTTGTATCGCCATTTTATCATATTAATCTGTAAGCAGATATTCTTGTTCATAATTTCAGTCAAAATAAAATTAGATGTAAAGTTCCATTATGAGACAATACACAGTACCTTGTTTAATAGCCTGTGAAAAGTGTATCCCTTAAGAGAATTTGCTAAGAATATTGATTAACCTTGGTGGCTTTATTTTGTTCGACAGGTAATGTACGTAGAAGGGACTGCAGTTGTTATGGGTTTTGAAGATCCTATGCTCCAGACAGATGACACTCCTATTAAGCGCTGTCTCCAAACCAAATGGCCGTACATCGAGTTACTCTGGACCACAGATCGCTCTCCTTCTTTAAACTGATTTGCCTAAGTATTTTCCTAATAGCAGATGTTGAAAGAGGGACTCAAAACTGGCAATTGGCTAAATTAAGCTGTACACCTGTAGCATTGATTAATTGTAAATAACAATTAAAAATGCTTTTTCAGTATTTAAAAAATGTTTAAATTATTTGTTTTAAAGCTTTATGTTAAAGGTTATCCTATCTTGACCCTTTATGTGAAATTTACTAGCAAAATTAAACTTCAATCAAAGTTCATTGCTTTTGCAGTCAGATAACTTTTCATTTATTTAACAAATTACAAAGATGATAATACTATAGCATTTGTATATTGAATATCAAAATTACTATTTATAAATTTCTATTTCTAGGTTTTATTTCATTCAGGCACATTTTTTTGCTTAAATGATTCTGACTTGCAGTATATCATCTTCAACACTGAAATGCACAGGAGTTCATGTTTGCTATTTATTTTCTAAAATATGTTTTCCATTAGGAATACTGATAAATAACAAATTGTCAGCCCAGTTCCTTTTGCAATTGGCTTAGCTCTGGCATGTTTACAAGAAGTAGAAACTGGAGGGGAACATTAGCTTTTATTTACAATATGTAAGGGATCTCTTTTAAAAATTGATAGGAAAGAGAATCTGTTTGATAGTCTTAACACTGTTAACTTCCACTGTATTGCCAAATATACTTTTCCAGATTTGTTCCAACAGCCCTATAAGCCAGCTTCCTTGTATATTTATAAATGTGATAAATGCATGAGAACATCTGTTATTACATTAGTATATTGCATTATTTATTATGATTCTAATTGATGGCCTGAATAAACACCTTTTTTTCTTTAATTATGTCCTAACATTTTTTACATTAGTGGTCAAAATAGAAAAATCATTTTAAATATTTCTCCCCAGCATTCCTGAGAGCACAGCGTAGAATAAATGCCTAATGAGCTCTTGCCATACCTCAGAATAAGAAATCAAACCTTATACTTCCCTGAGAGCTATGCTAATTCACTTGAGACAGCCAGAAGCACTAGACCCTGAGTGGCAGCTTTCTAGACCAGTGCACCAAATTCAGAAACCTCACTACTACCAAGAAAGAAGAGCCAGGAGCAGAGCATGTCCTTTGGACCAAGAGGGAGATTGATACCAGGACACATGGAACTCTCCAAGGAACTGGGAAACAGAAGCTGAAGAGACAAGGACCTTCACCACACCTGTGTGAGAGAGAAAACCTTCCCCTCAAGCCAGCACCCTGCATTCGGATTTCTAGCCTCCTAAACTGAGAAAATAAATTTGCGTTTATTTAAGTCATGCACTTGAATTTCTTTTATAATATCAGTAGATAACTAAGACACTTGGTTGTATTTTCTTTTAGGGTTGGCTCCCAAAGTTTATCTTCTGATCCAAAAGAGCTTACTAAATAAATCAGCATTAAGGTCACAAATACAGTTTTACAGCATTTCTCTCCATCTGTTCTTCAAGCTTTACTTTAGAGAT